CAGACCCATTCACTGCTCCAGGCAGCATCTCCTGCATCTCCTGCTGGATCCCTAGGCTGGCTGTCCCCACAAGGATCACCACAGGACAAGAAGGATGTTCTAGGAACTAAAGCTTGTTTAAAACCATAACCTGAATTTACTGAGTGTGTGTTACATACCAGCCCATTGCGTGCCTCTTCCCCTGAGTGCTGGGACACAGGCGTGGTCAGAGAAAGGCACATGGACTGAGAGGTTGGTGGGTGGACGGTGGTGATGCCAGCACCATCGGACACCAGGCAGGGGTTGGGGCTCCTCCACTAACACTCCCACAGGAGCAGGTGTCCGGAGGCCTGGGGACAGGGGTCTGGAGGTGAGGCAGTCTGTCCGAGGGCATGAACCCTGCCTTCGGAGGAAACAGATTATATTCTGTATAAGGCCAAAGCTCCAAGGAGGCAAGGCTTTATGCCAGAGAAGAGGAACTTTCCACCAAGAAATGCCGCTCAGAAGCTGAAGGCACTTCTTTCCAAAGTGTGAGTGTCTGGTCCCTGGATGTGTGTTTTTGCCTTTTTTCAACTTCTCTGTTTGAATTTTTAAATTTCGAGGAAATGGCATTTTATAAAATACTCATTCTACTTTGCCCAGTGGCTGCATCGTATTTTAATCTGTATTTACCACAATGATCTCCTTAAACCCCTGTTTTCCTCTACTATAAATAACATGGAAATGAACACCCGCGTTCAATCAGCTGCGTGCCTCTCTAATTGCCACTGGTAGCAAAAGGAAGATTGCTAGTTTCGAAGGCTGTGCACATCTGTGAGGACTTTGGGAGCATACTGATGTTCACGCCACCTTAATTTGGTTTTCCATTGCACTGCAGAATTTCACGACAGCCAGGAATTTCTATTTGTAAAACTGAGTGTAGGAATTTTTCTGGAAGCTAATAAATGACTTCAGACTTATCATCGGCCATTGCACTGTGCTGACTCTGAAAGATTTTAAGTTTTTTTCCCACATCTTAAAGAACACTTATAGTTTTAATTATTCATGAAATATTTAAATAAGCTTCTGACTCAGTGTCAGAGAATACAGCTTTGCTTATTGTGGAAAAAACTAGGTAATGCTTTCTGAAGTTAATGAAATTAAACTCTGGGAGTTTCTCATAAGGGTTAAGGTAAAATACAATACTAATTTAGTTTAAGAAAAACAACAGTGATTTTCTTATTTACCTGACTGAATTTTCTCCAGATATGTTTCTATTTTAAAATAATTTTTAATTCAGGGGGCGCCTGGGTGGCTCAATGGGTTAAAGCCTCTGCCTTCGGCTCAGGTCATGATCCCAGGGTCCTGGGATCGTGTCCCACTTCGGGCTCCTTGCTCAGCAGGGAGCCTGCTTCTCTCTCTCTCTCTCTGCTTGCCGCTCTACCTGCTTGTGCTCGCTCTCTCTCTCTGACAAATAAATAAATAAATTCTTAAAAAAATTTTTTTTTTTTTAATTTAAGGGGCTCCTGGATGGTGCAGTCAGTTAAGCCTCTGACTCTTGGTCTTGATTCAGGTCATGATCTCAGGGTTATGATCTCAAGGTCATGGGATCGCCCCACGTCAGGCACCAAGCTCAGTGGGGAGTCGGCTTGGGATTCTCTCTCCCTCTGCCCCCTCCTTATTCTCTCTCTCTCTCTCTCTCTCTGAAATAAATAAATAAATCTTTAAAAGAATAATTTTAGGAGCCTGCAGTTCTGAGCAAAACACATATAAGTGAAATAATCTATAACCTACAAAATACAGAGATCCGGACTTTTCTCACAGGTTTTAAAGAGGGAGCCAATGGTGGGCATCCACTCTTCACATGGAAATGAGTTGCTTTCCAGAAGTAGCTATAAGCCAAAATATCTTAACATGATGCCTTGTTTATCAGCAGCCCAACATTTAAAATTCGGATTTTGTTCCAAGTGGCTCATTTTATGACACGAAAATGCCAAAACAAAACCTGCAAAAATGAAATAATTCTGTGCTCTTACAAACTTCATTAAAACTGGATGCCATGCAAATCGATTTTGTGTGTCAGGGGCGGGGGGCTCGTTACACCTATTTCAGCATGAGCTGGCTCGCAGAGCAGACGGAAGGATGGAAGGCCTTGCAGCCTGGCTGGGTGATGCCGCCTCCAGGCAGCAAGCACGGACTGGCATCCTTTGTTGGAAAACAAGCTCCAATTGCCCACAGCACTAGAGGATCCTCTGGAGCAGGCTCTTCCTTACAGTCAGATTTGCGATCTCCACCCTGCCGTATGACCCCTCACCCCGAGTGTCTGTGGTGCAAAACTCCCAGGGCCACAACCTCCCCAGGAGTTGCCCCTGGGTCCCAGCCCCACTGCTGCCTCGGGACACATTGTTTCACCTTTTTGTGCCTCAGTGTCCTTACTTAGAAAATGCTCTAATTCATGAGCTTGTTGTAGAACCCGGAATCCAGGTGCAGTGCTCAGCAGAGCTGAGCACCAGACAAGCTCCGGAGACAGCTCCTTGCCCTGAGGACCCCGCCTTGGCTGTGTGTGTGTGGGACACTGACTGGTCCCACCGAGCAGTGACGGCATGGTGACCGGTGCTGCCAAGCATCGATGGTGTGACACCTCCATTGTTAACCATGTTTAGGCTCAGGGACAGCTGTCGGCTGGCTGGTATTTCATTCTTCCTGTCCCTCCTCTGGGGCAATGGGGTTCCATCTCTCCCCAAGAGGCAGGGTAGTCCTCTTGGCAAGGGATAGTCTTGCTATCCAAGGGATAGTCCCATGGGTCATGTTACAGAGGCCACCCTGAGAACCAGTCCTCCAACATGATGGGTGGCAGTGTTCCCACAGTTCCCACATGGGACACCGAAGTGAAATGACCTGACCAGGTGCCATGAGGCAGGCCAGAACCCCCACCTGGCTTCCAGATACCACCTGCCCCCGTTCCCTCCGAGTCCTGGGCTGCCTGGCTGTGCTGCAGCCCTCTTGTCAGTCCTCGGGCCTGTGCAGCAGCTCCAGCCACACTCATGGCCTTGACTTCTCACGAATTCTCCACATCCTGCCCTGACCCCCCTCTCAGCTCCCCCACCATAGCCCCACAGCCCCCACTCCCCCAGCTGCCTGGCTGCCCCTGCCACGTCTCCCATTCCCCGCTGCTCAGAGCTGCCTGAGCCCGAATTCCTCCACTTCCCTCCCTCTGCAGAGCAGGGACCCTGACTCAGCTGAGGCCCAGTCCCCTCACGTGGCTGCCTTCACAGCCTGCTAGTCTGTCTGTCTGCCCCCAAGATCTCCCACCTCAAATCTGTCTTTGTCTTGCTGTCCCTGACCCCCAGAATGCAAACCTCATGCCATGGTCTCCTCTTTACCACACTTATTAATGGTTCCTTCTTGCTGCCTAAACAGACTTAACATCTTAGCCTCCCCCCTGCGTGGCTCAGTCGGTTGAGCCTCCAACTCTTGATTTTGGCTCAGGTCATGATCTCAAGCCCCTCGGTGGGCTCTGAGCTGAGCACGGAGCCTGCTTGAGATTCTCTCTCTTTCTCTCCCTTCCCCCTCACCCCCACTGCTCAGACACACCCTCTCTCTCTCCCTCAAAAAAATAAAATAAAATCTTTAAAAATCTTGGCCTCCCCTCTCACCTCATCTCCATCTCCCTCCCATGGCATCTTACATGCCAAACATACTGAGCTATGGGACAACAGTGTCTCCCATCACTCTCTATACTTCTAGACTCAGTTCCCCCTTCCTCCAGGAAACCCTCCCTGGTTTCACAGACGTGGCATAGGAGCGTATCATCCTTACAACATTTGTCCTGAGGTTTGGCTAAAACAAGGTTTTTTGTTGAGTAAATGAAGCAATTACTAAAAAAGAAAATTTTATGGATGAAAAGAAATGTTTGATTTATTACATTAAGTGGAATACATGTTTATTGTAGGGAATAATAAGGAAAATTCAGACAATAAAAGATAAATATTATGTCCCATACTGTGACCTAGCATAAAACCTGTGACAATTTTGTTTTACTCCCCTCTGATCTTTCACCTATGGATGTTTTTGAACATAGTCTCATTTGCATATTTGGAAATACTGCATGTTTATTCTCTTTTTCAAGGGAAGAAATAAGCTCAACTTTTGTATGAAATGCTCTGAAAAACGTAATGGTCACAGAACACAGCACAAAGGACATTCCGTCATGTCCTTATTTTCCTGTTGCTGGACACAAAGTTTGTTCACAGGGTTTTGTGTTTGTTTACAGTCGTGAATAACATTGCAGCAAATGTCTTTATGGGTAAATACTTTCTTGTACTTCAATTAACTTCCTCGAGTCAGAATATTACATGAGCAAACACAGATGTGAGAAGCGTAAACATGGGTGAGGATCCTGAGATTTGTTCCCGTATTGCTTTCCTGAAAAGCCTTCTTCGTTTACCCTCACCCCCCTGTGGTCTGGAAGTGGCTTCCTCCCCACTGGGTCAAGTGCTGTGATCATTCTTCGCCTTTGTGAGTTTGGCAGCTATGAACTCGTAGCTCTTTGATGCTTTGGTTTTTGACGTTCTTTCCCTAATTGTCAAAGCATGTCTTGGAGTGTTAGGTTTTTTGCTCTTGTTTTGATGATTTGCAGATTATTTATTTACCTTTCCGTAGCCCAGGCCAATGTTTTTTCTCAGTTGAGATTGCCCAGGCAAATTCTTGACAAACCTAAGAGTGGTTCTCGGCTGGTCTTCTCCTGTAAGATGTTCGAGTTCTCACGGAAGCTGAGCAGATGAAGGAGAGCCGAAGGGTGGGGTTAAGTAGGATGGAAATGATGGCTGCATCTGGGGTAAATGCTTACACATGCCTCTCTTTCCAAATAACACTGTCTCATGGAACACAACTGGCTGTTCCAGCATACTGTTTCCTGGGAAACAGCTTCTGATGAACAGAGGCCCACCACGACACTTCATTCCTACCCCCATGTGAGGTACGTTCACCTAGCACAGTGCCCCACATCGATGTCCCCAGAATCCGCCTGAGTCAGCTTCTGGTGGGAGACCAGGGGAGTCTGGATGAGAGAAAGAGCACCAAATCCTTCAACACAGCCCAGCTGGGAGGAGCAGGTTTCCTGTGCCTTTGGACATCTGACAAAGGGTGGTGGATGGTTACAATTCTAAAAGGGAAAAAATAATGCATCCTCTAAGGATGATTTGTCAACTGAGTCTTTTTCAGAGAGGAAAAAGTCTGAAATGTCCCAGATGCAGCTATTTGCTGTCGCTATAAACACAGCTGGGGGCCAAAAGCAGTATTGTTCAAGTGGAGGTCACTCTGTTCTAGGAAGTGTGCGCCCTGACACGTTGGTGCATCTGCTTAGCCATGGGGCCTTAAACAGGTCGCTTGTCAAGACTGGAATAATGACATCTCCTGTTCAGAGCAGTGACCAGGCCAGATGGTGCTTGGAGGCCCCTCCCAGCTGTGGTTTTAATAGATGGGAAAAAACATCTGTCTGAAGGTAGCCAGGGACAGGGTGGGAGAGAGTCAGGACCATGGATAGCCCTGCACCGTTTGACTACTCTACTCAAACCCAAGCCTCAGTTTCCACCATGATGCCACGGGAACAATTACGCTGAGCTTTCAGGCCCGCCGAGGCTTCAGGGAGCTCAAACACAATGCCTGTGTGAGCCAGAGCCCAGTGTCCGGGGGCTTGTGCAGCAGTGATCACACAGACTCTGCACGCCTAGGTTCTGATCGGCCTCCACCCACCTACCAGCCCCGGGACCTCCCCAAGCCACTTGCCCTGTGCTTTGGTTTCCTTGTCCTGAGTTGGACAGGGGAGCTTTTCTCCAGCCTAATGGGGCAAGGTTTCCCTTGAGAGTCTAGCAGAGGGGGTGACACAGCACGGTGAGAGGGTGTGAGCATGTTCACAGCTGGGGAGGATGGCCCCAAGTCCGCACCTTTGCATGTCCCATTCCATCCTACCCTCTTGTTTTCTCTGAAGAGACCTACAGTATTTTCAGATCGCATATGGAAGCAACAGTCTCTGGCATCCAAAACGGGTGTAAGATTCCGAATCAAGGCAACCCCTCCAGTTCGTTTGGCAGTGCTCACTCTCCCACCAGTAGCTACTGTCCCAAGTGCTGAGCGATGAGGTCATGTGGGCTTGCTGGCCAGCCGTGGGCTCCTGCCACAGCCTGAACTGCACACACATCCTACCTGCACTGGTGGGTAGGTACAAATCTGAGAGCCAGGGGCTTACCACGCTAGGTAAATCTCTGAAACACTTAATCCCAGTCTATGGAAACACATCTAGGCAGAGCCTATGCTCCCACAAAAACTCATTTGTCACATGTCAGAAACCTGGGACAGGGTGGCTCAGTTGGTGAAGTGTCTCCCTTCAGCCCAGGTCATGATCCCAGAGTCCTGGAATCCAGCCCCAGGTCAGGCTCCCTACTCATCAGGGAGCCTGCTTCTTCCTCTGACCCTCCCTCCTCTCGTGATCTCTCTCTCTCCCATTCTCTCTCTCTCTCTCAAATAAAATCTTGAAAGAAAGAAATAAAGAGAGGAAGGAAGGAGGGAAGGAAGGAAAGAAGGAAGGAGAAAAGAAAGGAGAGGAGAGGAAAGGGAAGGGAAGGGAAGGGAACGGGGAAGGAAGAAAGGAAAGGAAGAAAGAAAGGAAAGGAAGGAAGGAAAGAAAGGAAGAAGGAAAGGAAAGGAGGGAGGGAGGGAGGAAGAGAAGGAAGGAAGGAAGGAAGGAAGGAAGGAAGGAAGGAAAAGAAAGAAACTAACTGGTCGGACACATAGGTTGGACACTTTCCAAACAGAAGTGAACCATTACAGTGACAAACTGTGTGTAGAGTTTTTATATTCTAGCAACAACTAAAGAGAAATGTACTAAGAAGAGATGAGGGCACACAGGAAGCAAGGACTTCCCTAGGGTGCAGGGGCGTCTCCCAGCAGTGCACCGGCTGCACGCTCCTCCTGCTCCCAGTTCGCACAGCCCCCATGGGAGAAGCTGGCCAGGAGCTGGGGCCCATGACCAGCGCCTTGGTCTAGTTGTTACCTTACTGGCTGTGTATGCCTGTGTGCATGCGTGTCTGTGTGTGCTTGTGTCTGTGTGCGAACGTGCCTGTGCGCGTGCATGCCTGTGTGTGCCCGTGTTTGTGTACACATGTGTGTGTCGCTGGTTTTTCTTCTGAAGTATCTTCAACCACCTAAGTAAATTCTATTTCAGTGACATAACTGACCAGTCTGACAATGTATTTCCTAACATTTTTCCGCTGTTCAGCAGGTGGGAAGGAGAACTCCCCCTCATTCTGAGATCTGCATTTTTTACTAAGTGATAGAAGTGATACGGTCATGAGTCCTCGCAGGGTCTAGAATTCTGTGGACACACACAGCTGGCCGTCTCAGCCTCAGGACGCTCCGTCGGGATGGGCCCGCATTACAGAGGAGGGGCCAACATTGCTGATTTCTTGTTAGAAACTTGTTAGTGACTTTTTAAATATAGTAGACCACAAAATAGAGCTTCTTAAAACAAAGGTGGAATGCGCGGTTCATATGCAAGAGAAACTTTTGTGGTCAATGAAAACTGAATATTTGAAAAATAAAAAATTAGGTAAAATAAAAGATAAAAAATTCTTAGGTATCTGGTATCATATTGGTTGTTCAAAATGGAAAGCAGAGAATTTTCTGTACCCGTGAAATACAAATTTTATCTTGTCCTTTAAGAAAAAGTGGGGTAACTGGCAGGTGTGGGACACCTGATCTCTGGGTCTTGAGTTCAAGCCCCATGTTGGGGGTTAAGTTTACTTGAGAAATAAATATTGACTTAAGTTTAGTTGTTCTAAATGTGGTTTATTATTCTGATTATTCTAAGAGAGTAACTATCATATAATGAAATAAAATCCTACAAATATCTAAAAATGGATATGTGTTTTTAAAATCGTTCCCTTAGCTTGGAGCTTTCAACAAAGAGCTATAGTATTTCCAATGTGATTCACCTTGTCCTTTCAAGTATGTAATATAATACATAACCTACAAAATACTGACTTTCATTCTCTTTAATAAGTAGTTGCTGTGTTTTCCTAGAGCTTGATAGAATTCTGTTATAATTTGGGAGATAGAAGGGTTCAAACTTTTTAGATTAGACAATAGACTTATCATTGCATATATGTTCACTGTACAATACATTTAAAAAATTGAGCTTGTTTCTATATTAAATAAAACTTTGCCATGGATTAGGTTACTAACTAAATTCTTCAGCCGAGGGTTGGGCTCTCCTTTATTATAAACACTTAAATTTTTGTAAGTTGCTTTAGTAAAGAAAGAGGAAAGAAAGGAAGGAAGGCGGGGAGAAGGAAGGGAGGGAGGGAGGAAGGAAGGAAGGGAGAGAGAGACTTGGGGATTCACTGTCTAAGACTGGAGTCGCCACCAGGAGGCAGAGCGGATTCACCTGTCACCAGTCGGTGAGCTGAGAAGGACAGTGTGGGTATGGCCTGTGGCTGGGTGCCACGTCCAGGACAGCTGGACAGACATCGAGGAGGCATTCGGTCTTTACCATTCTCCGAGGGAAGGCTGTCAGAGGTTTCACAAGAGAGCTTACCTTCTCCCACAGCCAGGAGGCTCACTTCTCACTTCCTCAGAAGGCCCCACACGGTGTCTCCCGTCGGCATTCCCCAAGCCTTGGCACCCTGTGGGCACAATTCTGTTTAATGTCATGGCACTTACCACAATTACAAGTAATTATAGTTATGCAACATCCATCTTCCCCCGGAAGGTTTGATGGTCTGTTGTCATTGTTCATCCACAGTTGGCTTGGTACATGACATGTGGTAGGCCCTGGATCCATGTTTGTTGATTGAATGAATGAGTGAATGGGGGGATGGGTGGGGTGGCACTGGCAGCAATGTTGGGGGCGCTGTTTGGGGTAACTGGAATCACTCTGAGAAAACCCTCTAGGGTGTGACTGGAGTGAGGCTGTGGCCACAGGAAGACACCACAGTCATACCGAAGCAGAAGCTGGCTGGCTGGGGAACTGAAGTGGGAAGTGGGGGAGCATGGTCTTTGAGAACAGGGCTAACAGTAGGCGTGTGTGGGCATCAAGGCTCGGTGCCTGCACCCTGAAAGGGGGAGTCCCTACAACAAGCCTGTAAGGTCGGTGCCATTATTGCTGCTCCTTTACATTTGGGGGAAACTGAAGCAGAGAGATAAAGCTTGCTTAGAGGGTTCTTGTCCGTCATGCCCCCATGGATGAGGAACTGCAGGAGAAAGAGTCTTGGAGATAATAGGAGTTCTGCTTTGGATGTGTCAAGTTTGAGGTGCCTTTGGCATAGGCAAGGAGCAGGCGGCCTGAAGCTTGGAGAAGTCAGGAGTAGAAATACTGACCTAGTGCTCAGGACACTGAGGTTATGGTCAACATGGTGGGGCCAGGGGAGCCCAGGGAGCAAGACGCATTACAGGAAATGCTCTGAAGACCACCACAGGAATCCAAAAATACCCACCTCCACCATGAGTTGGGGGCAAGGTTGTAAGTGTGGCTGTGTTCTCTTTCCTTTCTGTGGTGTTCAGAAATAGGTAATTAGTCAGTAAAATGCAAAGATTACTATTCACTACTTGCAGGAGGGGTTGATAGTATCAATGAAATGAGAGGTGTGCACAAAGGCATGGATTTGCATTATGATCTTCTCTTTCAAAGCATAAAAGAAATTTGGTATCAATATTAAGTGTGTGATTTTTTAAAAATATTTATCCATTTCAGAGAGCATGAGTGGGAGGGGCAGAGGACTATGGGGAGAGAATCTTAAGTAGACTCCGTGCCAAGCCTGGGAGCCCCATGCGGGGCTCAATCCCACAGCCATGAGATCAGGACTTGAGCCAAAACCAAGAGCTGGCGGCTCAACAGACTGAGCCACCCGCGGGCCCCTAAGTGTGTGATTTTTTAAAGCAAAATTAAACAAGAAAAAGAACTGTATTTGACCTCTTAAAATATCCAGTAAGACTCTTAATCTTGGGTCCCTGAATCCCCCAAGGGCCTTCAGTTAGATGTCAGTTGCATAGGAAGATAGAACAGCATTACCTCCCATTTGAATACAGGCTGAACACTTCAGTCCTATGGAAGTGTATGCGACTTGCCCACCTGTAGAGATCCCAGGTGTTTTCTCCCACTACTCGGTGGTTGCCGGCAGCTGGGGAAAGTGTACACCACTGTGTTCACACTGTGGCAGGTAGGAACTCTTGTCACTGAATGCACTAATACAGGAGTCTGCCTCTGATGGCTGTTAAGTCCCAGCTCCCCCTTCCTCCCCTGCGCTGAGGCTGGGGCCGGGGCTCGGCCTGCAGGGCACGCAGCAGAAAGAACCGCTCCTCCCTACCTGCTTCCTGTTTCTCTGCCGGTCTCCGGGCAACGGGGCCGCAGGGTTCCGTTCTGTTTCCAGTGTTTTTCCGGCACTCAGAAACCCCCGTCGTCGTTGTCAGGGAGCCCTGTCAGATTCTAAAACACCCAGGTCAGAGCTCTGGGTACGTACCCAGGCCTTTGGAGCACGGTAACCCAGCCCCAGCTGTCCCCAAGGTCATTGCCTCTGAGCCTCTGTACCTTCTGAGGCATCCAGCACATCTCCTGTATGTTACATCTATATATATGTTACATCCTGTATGTTACATCTGTATGTATGTATGTATTGTTACATCTGTATGTGTAACATCTTCTGTATGTTACACTGCTGTTACCAGGACTGGGGTAGACATCCTGATTGGACTCTGAAGGATACAATGTAGTATGAGCTAAAAATACATTTTAAGAATATGTTTTCAGAATAATCCATTTACTTTGTAACTCAAAATACTTTGCTTTAAGCGTTTAAAAATATTATTCTGAAACTGGCCACAGGTCCCCAGCAGTGTGCCAGAGGTGTGTGTGATACAAAAGCAGGGATGAAGTGGGAGTGGTCGCCCACCTCATTACAGTTTCTTTCATCAGATTTAAAAGGCTGGAGGAACACAAAACAAAGGTTTTTTGTCTCCCTTTTCCCTTCCTTTCTTTCCCCATAAAGTTATGGAATAAAATGAACTTGGTGTTATTTTTTCCCCCTTTAAAAGTAGTATGTGCTCATCCAAAAGATATATATGTATACAAAGTAACAATTTCTAGGTGAGTGGCATCTGGTACTTGTGGTACAAGTGGCATCTGCACACTTGTAACCATCACCACCGTCCATCCACAGAACATTTTCACCTTCCCAAATTGAAACTCTGTCCCAGTTAAATAATTCCCTATCTCCTTCCCCAAGCTCCTGGAACCCACCATTCTTCTTTCTGTTTCCATGAATCTGATTAACATAAATGTTTATTATTGCCTGCTGCTTTCCCATGGTAAAGTGGCTTGAATGTGATACTTAAAGCAAGCAGTATTTGCCTGATGCTTGCCTTTCTTTCTTTTTTTTTTTAATTAACATATATTGTATTATTTGCCCAGAGGTAGAGATCTGTGAATCATCAGGCTTACACATTTCATAGCACTCACCATAGCACATACCCTCCCCAATGTCCATAACCCAGCAACCCTCAGTTTGTTTCCTGAGATTAAGAGTCTCTTATGGTTTATCTCCCTCCCTATCCCATCTTGTTTCATTTTTTTCCCTCCCTTCCTCATGGCCCCCTGCCCTGCCTCTCAAATTCCTCTATCAGAGAGATCATATGATAATCGTCTTTCTCTCATTGACTTATTTCGCTTATGATGCTTGCCTTTTTCTTTTTTCTTTTCTTTTTCTTTCTTTCTTTTTTTTTTTTTTTTTT